CCAAGGCATTTCTCATGCTTCCTTTCAAGAATCCACTTGAGAACCAACTGCACAGTTGCAGCACCTGACGCTGCTCGGGAAGGGCCGTCTGCCCAGAGGGGACAGGCTTAGCTTTTGCAAGAGCGGACAAATCAGCATCTTGCCAGGTCCTATCCAGCCTATAGTTGAGGACTTCACCTTATATGCCGGGACCAGGCCAGACACGGGACTCCGCTGGCAGAGACGACGAGCCCAGCAGGTGAGTGGGCTAGTGCTGAATGCCTTTTGGTATCTGAGGGCCAGGGTCACCAAGTCAGCACTCAGCTTCACTTAATAGAGGGCCCCGAAAGGCCTACCCCAGGCTGCAGCAGAGGGGCCTGACCCTGGAGGAATCCCAGTTTGTAGCAGTGCACCTGCACCCTGGGAATCCTTGCCCAGACTGGGGTCCAGGACACAGGCCTCCCTCAGTGGCTGGGGCTTCTGAGCTGCAGTGACCATGCAGCCCTTCAAAAAGCCACCTTCCTTGGGCCTCACTGGTGGCCTAGGGGTTAAGTCTCAGCACTGTCACTGCTACAGCCTGAGTTCCATCCCCGGCCATGGAGCTGACCCACATGGCGCAGCAGACCTCTCCTGTCTCGCCACAGCTCCCCTCAGCATGTATTGCAGTCAATCAGCCTGTTCTGTTTCCCACTGTCTCTGGTGAGTCTTCTCACTCCCTGCACCTCTGGCCTACACTCAAGTTCTCTGCACCAAAAAAAAAAAAAGCCACCTCCCTCAAGCCCGCGAGGCAGGGGTGGGGTCCTGCCAAATGGGAAGAACCTGACCAGTGCAGCCAGGGAAGCAGAGCAATTTCCCCGAGGCCCCCAGCCCTTGCAAGAGGCCAGGGCCGGCCACAGGCGTGTCTTAGCCTGGACATGATGCGAATCTCTCGTCTGCCTGCCGGGTGAGTCTTCCATCCTGCACACTGTGAGGACTGGGTGGGGGGAGGGGGTGCAGGAGAGGTGGTGGCCACGGAGTAAGTGGGCGGGCTCAGAGCCTTCTCGGACACAGCAAATGCACAAAGCCTTTGCTTGACAGAAAGGCAACTGGAGGAAGACGCAAGAGCAGGCAGCTTCAAGGGGCGCCTGAGACACAGGGCGGGGCTCCCTGGCAGGGGTGCCGATCCCAGGCCTGGAGCACATGAGCAGGGACCCGCACTGTGCGGGACTTGCCTCTTCCCTCTCTTGCTCATGGGGAGACACCGAGGAAACTGAGTATTTGCCTTGATATGGAAAGAAAAAATACATCCTGCAGTTCCGAGGGCAGAAAAAGCCATGAAAACTTGCCGGGTTCAAGAGCCCGCTGTTAGCCATTCCAAGGGTGACAGGGTATCATAGGATCACCCTATCCACAGAACAAGCATGTCAGGAAGAGAAGAAGAACAGGGCATTAAACACAAACACAGAGCACCCCAGTTTCTGAGGCAGCGCCCAACAGCCAGCGGCGAGAACGAGCCACAGGCCCAAGAGCAGATATGGATAAAGAAATGCTATTCAGCCATGAAAGTGGACTCCTGCTACATCTGTGTGTACCTCAAGACATGATGGGGCCTCCCTGGAGGCACAGGGGTTAAAGCGCACCCCCATAAAGCTCTCCACAGCCACTGCAATACGAGTTTGATCCCCAGCCAGGGAGCTGACCCACATGGTGTGGGAGACCTGTCCTGACCCGCCCGCTGCCCCCCTCAGCAGTGTGCTTCAGTACATCTGCCTGTTCTGCTCCCCATTCTGTCTCTAGTGAATCCTCTCCCCCCTGCATCGCTGGCTGGTACCCCAGTTCTTGTATGCATCCATAAATGAATCTTTAAAAAAAATAAAACATGTTGCATGATACCAAGTCACTAGGATTCCAGGAGTATGCAATGTCCAGAATAGGCTGACCCCTGGGAGACAGGTTGGTGGTCGCCAGGGGCTGGGAGGAGGGGTGGGGAGCGACTGCTGACAGGTATGGGATTACCTTTTGGGATGATGAAAACATGTTGGAACTACAGGGGTGACGGTTACACAGGTGCTTAAAGTTATTCACTTTAAAATGGTTGATACATATTCTGGGAATTTTACCTTAAAAATGTTCTTAAGGCAGAGCTTACAATCGCAGCGAAACCAACGGGTGGGTCAGCAGTGAATCGGCTGCAGAAAGGCAGGAAGCATGGAGGCCCCCTGACCCTCTGATGCCTGGACGGCCTGTGTCCCGGGGCTCGGGCCGGGGCTCATTTGTAGACTGGACTTGGCTCAATTCACCTGAAAAGGCCAGCTCAGGGCAGGGCCGGTAGCTGCCCGGAGCAGAGACTCCCGGCTTTGGGAGAGCAAGTGCAGGGCCGGGAGAGCTGGGGCAGGCTGGGTCTCTGAGCAGTGGGTGCTGCTAAACAGACTGGGCACAGGCTAGGTTTGTGCTGGGCAACACAGCACCAGAGACCAGAGGCCGCCTGGGAAAGTGAGAGCAAACCACGGCCATTGCCCAATGCTCCATCCGGCCCAGCCCAGGGTCAGGGAGGAGCCAGGCCCAGGCCTCGCGTGCCTGCCCACGCACTCGTTGCCACCGGCAGCAGACAGCTGGGATTGCAAGGGACCTTGCAACATCAGCTCCATCCCTCAGGGTTCAGTTGAAGTGTCCCTTTCCCCAGGGGAAGTTCCCCAGACTCCTTGGGTACCGTTAACCTTGAATTCTGCCTCAGCCATGTTGAGCTGTGTGGCCTTGGGCAAGGCACTTCACCGCTCTGTGCTCCCTTTCCCTGTGTAAATAGGAGCAACATTCCCCCCATGCACACACGTGGCAGCAGTTTCCCTGGGCTCTGCCAGCTGCAGACCTGTGCCCTCACGCCCCCTGCCTATCCCTTCCCACCAGGTAAGAACCCGGGGCCAGGTGGGATGCAGACAGCAGTTACTACCCCTCCTCACAGGACCGAGACCAGCTCTGGAGCTTGGCCCAAAGCAGCAGGGCAGGAGTGAGGTTTTGCTCAAAAATTTTCAAGGACATGCTGCTTTATTCACAATTGGAAAGCCATGGAAACAGCCCAAATGCCCAAAAGTGGATGACTGGATTAAAAAGATGTGGTCCATATACACAATGGAATATTACTCAGCCACCAAAAAAAAATTTCAAGGACTTAAAAGAAATCACTTTATCTCTATGAGCATGAAGATCAGAGCGTGTGGAAATGAGCTGCCTCGTTCATCTCCACTCTGACCCTCCCAAGAACCTCCCACCCTGCCTATATCCCGCCAGAAGATGCCAGACTCTGTGCTGGTGGCCGGGGCTGAGCACCTCCCATCCCCGGGGGCTGTTGCAGGCCCTCCTGAGACACAGGCATCTTTAGGAGGGCGAGTGCCCGGGCTCTGAGGGCCAGGACTCGACCTCGGACGCAGTAGGGCCTGCGTTGATGCGCACGGTTGAGGGGCTCCCAGGGTTGAGGGCAAGGACTGGGCTGACCAGACGGGCTGCTTTTTGCCCTAGCACCCTCTGGCCCCTGCAGGGATGAGGAGCAGCTCTGTGAGCCCTCACTCTCATGGGAGACAGCGGAGGGCGCCCAGAACACCAGTCCCGCCTAAGCCTAGGGCCACCGCCCCTTCTCGGCTGCGTCCCCCACACCTGCCCAGCCCTCGGCCTGACCTTAGTGAGGTCTGTCTCCCTGGCACTCCCAGGGCATCTCCCCCTCTGTAACCACCAAAGACTGAGGACTGGTCCAGGGACTTACAGGGACCCCGAAGTCCAAGGAGCTAAAACTCTCCACACAGACAGGACAACATGTAGCCGAGACAGGTGGACATGCTGACCTCTAGGCCCAGGTCTGAGTCAGGCGAGCCTGCCGCCCCCTACCCAGCTCTCCTAGATCAGCCCCAAGAACTACTCAATGCCTGGTCAGCAGCTGGTTTGACGAAACAAGTAGGACACTTGGAGAGTCAGGGTGACAGAAAGCCCCAGACCAGGCAGTAAGTCACAGGCAGGTGGACAGCAACCTCCCCTGCCCCCACCAACTCTAGGGCCAGGAGCTTTCTGCTGCAGGTCAGCTGCCCAGTAGTTCAGGTTCTAGAGCCCTGACCTCAAGACCAGGACACCTCTCAAGTCAAGGCCAAGAGGGCGGCCTCCAGGCACAGGAGCCAGGACCCCCATTAAGACGAAAAAACTAGACCTGGCCCAGCGCCAAGGTCCTGGGTCCTGGAGGAGCTGCCTTCTAGGTCTGAGCCTGAAGCCAAGGGGAAGGAGCTGGCCAGGGTCTCCAACTGCTCACTCACCAAGCCAGGCATTGCTCCCTGTTCCTCTGATCTGCTGCCCTCAGGTCCCCAGGGGCAGGGCGGGCGCACTGCCAGATGTCTGGCCCCTGTTCTGACTTTTCTAGGGAGTCACCACTACCTCTGAATACGCCGAAGTCACACCCTTCTTCTCTTCCTGTGCGAGGGCGGGTGTGGGCTGAGAGCAACTGATAACCCCCTTGGCGCATCTGTGGGGCACCACCAGGCCTCAGGGGAATCCCAGGCGCATGGAGTGGGGAGGCAGCCCCTCCATAACAGGAAGCTGGGCCCCAACACGCTGAGTCTCTGCCAGGCGTGCAGCCATGAAGGGCACAGAGGCCCATGTGGCCTCCAGACACCTGATCTCCTGGCCAGGACAAGCCCAGTGTACAGACTCCTGGGTCTCCACTCCAGCTGGCTGGGCCTCCTCCCACCTCTACTCAGGACCTGGGCCGATCCAACAGAGTGACAGGGACTCCTGTGAGGGACAGCCAGAATGAAGGTGTCCAAAGGAAAGAAGGAATAGTCTGGAAGAGAGGGCCTTTGGGGCCCTCCTAGATGGGACTCTGAAACAGGTTAGCCATGCCCAAGGTGGCAGGGAAGGCCAGGGGACCCCCAGACGGGAAGGTCTGGAAGTCTCCACATTTAGAATCTTCTGGGCTACTCTGGAAACACCAAGGAATGAAGATGATCATGGACTTCAGGACAGGCAGACCAAGACGAGAATCATGAACTTGGCTATCACTTCACCTCTCAAAGCTTTAATTCCTCACATGGTCAACAGTGGCAGTTTCCCTGAAGAATTGAGTGAGGTAAGACCCCAGCCTCAAGCCAGTTAACAGGGGGAACCCAGAACCTCAGAGAGGGGCCCTGAGGAGCGGCAGAGCAGCCGTGGTGGAGGCACAGACAGCCCCCAGGAACCACCACCCAGCCCAGTCGCTACAAGATCTTTATTAACAAGATGATAAAAAAGGAGAGAGATCTAGAAATACTTCTTGGAGACCCCAGGAGGGGAGGCACTGTCAGAACTCACCCGGCCAGGGAAGGCCACCCGGCCGGCGGCAGAACGGAGACCTGGGCCTGTCCAGAAGGCAGGCGGCCAGGATGCTGAGAGGGAGGGGAGGGCTCGGACCTTGGGCAGGGAATGTGCAAACGCCCAGGCCGCGCAGGGAGTGTGGGTTGGGGGCTTCCTAGCAGGAAGCCTGAGCACCGTGTTCCCCTGCGTGGGCAGACACGCATGTCCACGTGAGAGCCGGTGCCTGCACGCAGCTTATGCAGAGGGCAGAACCAGGGGTCCCCTGGCTGGAACCGGGGACAGAGTAGGGTTTCATTCCAGAGCTTGAGGAAATAGCTTAGAGAAGTCTCTGGAAGCCTCAGGGCCAGAGGGAGAGCACGTAGCTGATATTCTCCTTGGCTTCAGGGGCCCAGGCCTTCCTGCCGTCGCTGGAGAGCCTCGATGACACTGCTGATACCATCCTCGGGCACCTGTGGGCAGGCAGGCAGAGGAGGGGTCAGGCCTGAAGCTGGTCAGGGGTCCCCAATGTCTCAGCTAACTGGAACTACTTTCTGTGCCCCCAGCTTCCTGGGACCCCATACCCCCAGGGGCCCCCACCCAGTCCACGGTGCTCACCAAAGCGTGGTCAAAGTTGAAGGTGCTGATGTAGTAAGCAGAAATGTCAGCCGCAGCCAGAGGGCCAGCAATCTGGGCCACAATCCCACATTCATCTGAGGGTTGAGGAAGGGTCGTGTGGATCATCCTGGTCCCCCAAGAGGCCCCCCAAGCCCCTAACACACAAGCAATGGCCCTCACCAAAGCCCAGGGGCTGTCCGCCGATGCGCACCATCCTCCAGAGCTCGCCTGAGGAGCTGGTCAGCAGGAGGTCACTGGGGAACCTGGGGAAGCAGCGGCAGTGGGCAGGGCACTCCCATCCCCTCCCGGCACCACTGTGAGCCCCTGGGCAGGTCAACCTGGCGACCTCAGAGTCTGACGCTCCCTCCCTGGGGCTGGCTTGGGGTCTACGGTCCCCCAGAGTCAGGAGTACATACTTTTTCTGCGTCTCGGCGTCCATGACGATGGAGATGTAGCCCTCAATGAGGGAGAAGGCAAAGAATGTGATGGAGCTGGATCCAGGACTGGCAGCGGCTGCCTCCTTGGGCGCACTGGGGAGAAACAGGGGCTCAGGGCGCTGCCACGCACCTGCCTACACCATCTCCTCCCAGCCAGCCTCTAGGAGCCGGGGAAGGGGCTGGCATGGGCAACCAGGGGCAGGTACCCCTGTCTCTGGGCTGGGTCCTTCCTTCCCTGTGCAAGGACCTTGCTCTCCTAGTGACATCAGTGCGGTGTGGGAGGACAATGAGCCCTGACTGTGATGACACAGAACCCAAGGGCCGGAGGGTCTGCCACAGGGATGGCTCAGCCCAGCACCACAAGAGGGGACTCCAGTCACCGCACCTGGAGGGCTGAGGGAGGGTCCATGTGGGTCACTGTGGTCCCCCAACATCAGTGAAAGGCACATGGGCCACAGACAGGGCACAGAGGCAGATCCAAGAGGCAGGACAGGAGCATGGGAGCAACAACGGGAGGACGGAGACAAGCAAGGCCCACCTGTGCGCGTAGAAGAGGACATCGATGAGGGTGGTGGCAATGGCTGGCAGGGTCTCAGGGTCCAGTGTGAGGACACAGAACCGGTTCTGTGGGCTCTGGATGGGATGCACAGTGGGGCTGGGCCCTGCTGAGGGAGAAGCAGGTGAAGACAGTCAAGTGTGACCATGGGCTGGAGCGACCTCTGGTGGCCGGTGCGGGCAGGGCCTGGGCAGGGCAGAGTCAAGCCTCCCCGGAAAGCCACCCGCCTCGCTTCCCACACCCTGTATGAAGGAGCAGCTGTCTCCTCGCACCCACAGGGCGGCCAGTGCTGGGAGGGGCCCGGTGGGAAGAGGAGCCTCTGCCCAGGTTTGGGTGCCAGAGGGACTTCAGAGGCCCTCACCATGCTGGGTTCGGGGAAAGCCATTGCTGGAATCATCCCTGGCAACAGGCACAGGCTCCCCGCCCACCTCTCGGTAAATGTGGAACTCCTGGGCCAGGGTGTGGATCACCACAGACAGGTCCTGCTCCCGCACCTGCACCACAGGGGGGCAAAACATCACACGGGTCCCGGGCACCCACGCCCACCCAGCCCTGCACCAGTGCCCAGGGGCAACTCACCAGGATGAAGTCTGTCTGGTAAGTGGACAGCATCAGCACAGACACGTGGTGCTCAGCCAGAGGTGTGATGACTGAACGAGCGATCTTGGTGACTCCAGCAGCCTGCACCACTGCCCCGCTGTGGGAGGACACGTTCAGCACCAGCCACGTGGCTTCAGCCACTTGTAGGAATTCGGACGGGGGCAGCTCTGTGGGGCAGGGAGCACACGCCCAGTCAGGGGCTGCAGGCCTGGCCCCTGCCCCTCCGCTCCATGGCTGTGCCTTGGAGGGCTCTCCCAAGGGACGGGCAGCCTGGCTCTTCCCTCCAATTCTGCTTCCAACACCTGTGTGTATGCAAGGACTAGAAAGTGCTTTAGGCACTAGTCTTTGAAGGATTGAAACTTTCCAGTTAAGATGGAAGTTCAAGATTTAGACCGATCTCTCTGCCAGCCCCAGCTTCGTCATCTACTTGCAGTTGACCTGGGCAAGGGATTTAACTATTGGGAGTCTCAGGTTCTGCTACAGTTAAATGAAGGACCTGTGTTATCTCATGACTGTTCTGAGGCTTTACACAAAACAGTAACCAGCAGGGGGCGCCAGCAGATCAGGTTGACTGAGCGATGCCCTTCCCAGGTAACCAACCCAGACCTCCCAGCAGTATCAACAGGGAAACTGTTGATAGTAGCAATGTGGGGGGTGAGCGAAGCTCCGGTTGGCTGGCCTGAGACTAGCCCTGTGAAGATGGGTCAGGCTGACAGGAATAGGAGCCAGATGTCAGTTCCAGGGACCTGACTGGCATCTAGTCCAGAGCACAGGCCAGGGCTGGGGTAGCTGCTGATTGCTCAAGCATAGCCAAGAGGCCCCCAAGAACCCTGCCCTGGGCTGGCTGCCTGCTTCTGCATTCTTTCTCCAACCCTCAGACTCCAGGAGTTCCTAGGCCAGCTGTGGAGAGGGTTGTCCTGACCAGAAAAAGTAGCCAGGGGGAAACAGTGGTCAGGTTATAGGAGCCAGCGCAACCCCTGACTCCTGCCCCTGAGTGAGGCCCCGCTGCTGGCCTGCAGCTGCCAAGTGGTCTGCACACACAGTGCTGTTTATGAGGTGCTGTGGGATCCTATTAGATCAGAACCATTAGCAGTATCCATTTTACATAAGAGGAAACAAACTACTCAGAGAGGGGAAGTGACTTGCTCAAGGGCACACAGCCAGTAGTGGTGATATGAATTCGAACCCTGATCCAGCTACCTTCAAGGCTGGAACTCCTCGGACACTGACTGGACTCTGCATCACCTAGCAAGAATCCCCAAGAGGAGAGCGTGGCATCCCTCCCCCTACACCCCCTCCTCAGCCCAGCCCCCACCTTTGAAGCCCTCCTCGTCCACCATGAGCGTGTAATCCTCGGGGGTCTCCGTCAGGCTGAAGAACTTGCACCTGGTTGGGGTGGGGGCATCTTCAGCCTGGGCTGGGCGGAAGGGGCGGGTGGACTTCGCTCCTTGCGCCCGGAAAGACCCCCTGCCGGGCGCCTTCCTGAAGCCTCAGTTTTCTCCGTTGGGCAGTGGAGTGAGGGATCCACCTCTGGAATCGCGGACTGTTTTCCGCCTTCTCACCTCCGCCGGAGCCCCCCACCCCTCCGTTCCGGGAGGGAGGAGAGGCTCACCTGGGGCAAGAGGCCCGGGGGCGTTAGACCCTGCGCCCCCTAGACCAGCCTGTGACCCGCGAAGGCGTCTGGAAGAAGCTCGCTCCCTCTACGCCAGGAAGAAATGGCCGCACTGACAGCACTCGGAGTTAAGTATTACCAACCCCAGGCTGTTTGTGCCCTGACTAGCCCTGGCAGGGGGCCTCGCGGGGCCGGATAGGCGGCGGTCCCAGGGAGGGCAGCTCCGGCCGGATGGCGTCGGAGAGGCAGGGCCCTCCCCACCCGCGCGCCCCGCGAGGATCCCAGTGCCCCGGCCCCGTCCCAGAGCCACAGCGGAGCCCACCCCCCACTGCGCCCCCGAACCCGAGCGCGCACCGGCTGCGGCGGGGCAGGAAGAGCAGCTTGATGAGCGGGTGGGTGTAGAGCCAGAGACCAGGGCGGGCGAGGCTCAGCACCCGCACCCGGTGCTCTAGGATGTGCAGCTCCATCGCGGCAGGCGCCG